AAGAAGAAGAAGAAGAAGAAGAAGAAGAAGAAGAAGAAGAAGAAGAAAGCTCCTAGAGAAATTATTTATTTTAGGAATAAAATCTGAATGGACTACTAGTTTCCTAATATTGTTTGCTCTTCTGTGGTAAAAGACAGACATGGATGGAGCCAGGAAAGAATCTGAAAATGGGTCTTTGCTGATAGATGCCTCCTCACATTTCCCACTGGTGGATCCCTTCTCACAACCATTGCACTTCATTGAATCCTGGAATTTCCATCTACTCTCTGCTCTGATGTTCTTGGTGACTTCCTTGTCCCTGTTTGAAAATTTTATTGTCATTTTCATCACTGTTAAATTCAAACAGTTGAGGCAACCTCTCAACTATGTCATTGTGAACCTCTCCGTAGCTGACTTCCTTGTATCTCTGGTTGGAGGAACAATCAGCTTCCTCACTAATCTGAAGGGTTATTTTTATATGGGCCATTGGGCGTGCGTCCTGGAAGGCTTTGCAGTCACCTTCTTTGGTAAGTGGAAAGTTTGGGGTTTTTTTCACAACCTTTTAGAACAAGTGACATTTGCACTTTTAACTTCTGTAGTTTGTGTGGTTATGGACCAGGTAAAAGGCATGTGTGCGCACAATCTGCAAACTTCGTAGTGTGTACACAGTTGACACCGGCTAATACTGCCAAGCTGGCATTTGCTAATGCTGATGTTGATTATTGAATCAGACACAAAATGATTTCTTAGTAACTGTTTTCATTTCTGAAGCCAGAGAAAAGTACATAGTGCAAGGCAGCCCTTTTTAATATGTGCATTTATTTATAGAGATGTCTCTCTTAAAAGATTGAAGAAAAAATGTTTTTTAAAAGAGGTGGGAATAATGCCTACTTTTGTAATATAATTTGAAGCAATCATTATGAAGTGTGTCTCCTTGTCAAATTATATTGCATCCCAAGGTAACTATGATGTTCTCAGTTGATTAAGTACCGGTCAGTTAGTTTGCATCTAAGATACACATAAAAAAAAGCTGGATCCTACATATTTTCCAATCATCTTAGTATCTTTTCTAGCAACTACAGTTACTCCCTAGGTTAAATTTAGTAAGCTGTTCTACTTCACTGTCCATAGTACTGTTTTAATAAAATTATATTGGATTAAGATTAAGCATTGGGTTATCCTGTGTTGTAAATTACGTCTTCTTGGAGTGAAGCTGGATTCTTTGTGACTTTATGGGATACATTCTTGTAGATTTTTTGGTAAAGATATAGAAGTGATTTGCCACAGTTTCTTCTTGGTCTCTTTTTCAATCCAGTTTTACCCAGAAGACCTCCCTGCAAATACTGTCCAGGGATAATCCCATTGTAGAACTTTCCTACTCAGTAATAATGTATAATGTACAGGAGTTGTTTTTTTGTAAATTTAAGTGTTGAGATTTTTTTAAAAGAAATCTATAACCTTACGTATGGTGAGGGAAACCTACTGAATTCAGCACATTCAATTTCTATGAAAGATGCTTCACCATCTAATCCTGAGACCTGATGTTGTCAACAATTGAGGGAGGAAGAAGCTCTAGAAGTGTCATGTCAACATTGGGAAGAAGGGCACCCGGTTTCTCCTGTTGGTATCCATTGGAATAGGACTAGGCAGTGATGAAACATTGCATTATTTTGGTGTCAATTGTGTCCCCTTGTGAATTTATATGTGTCATCACAATATAAGCATAAGCATCCTCACAACCAGGAGGCTGTGAGTTCGATCCTAGGTAGAGGGAGATATTTCTCTCTCTAGGCACGTTGAGAATATATCTGCTGAATATAACTCCTCATTGGTGACAGGAAGGGCATCCAGACAGTAAACACTCAGCTCCATTCAGGTGGTCAGACTCCACACCACAAGGGATTATGGAGTCAGTAAAAGATGATATTGATCACAATATAAGCGCAAAAGAATGGAGTTTTTGTGGGTGATGTCACAATGCGTGTTCTATCACTTTGGAGTCATCACAGTTAGGGATGCCTGTGATCTTCTCCATGTTCTGTTGTCAATAACATGCTCAGTTCCACCAACATCATTAGATATCATCAGACAGGAAAGTTGATCAGAACAATGATGTCGGTAGACATGGAAATGTGTCTAAATATTATGGAGGGAGGTAGAGAAAGAAAATTCAAAATAAAGATTCCATTTTAAGTGTCAGTCCTTACAGTCATTACTGTATTACTATCTTCAATCCTTGACGTAAAGCCTCAGTGCCTGAACATCATCTCTACCGTATATCAGTGTTGTAGTCTGGGAATCATGCAGAACCAGGCACATAGGTTATGCTGTATACCTTCAAACAGTTCACATTCCAAACAGCCACACTGTTTTGGACTGAAGCAACAAGACTATTTGAATGCTCTGATATTTGCTTTCAAACTTTTGATATTGTAAACTGATTTGTATCACAACTTTCTGTGATGAAAATCAAGGTGGGTTCCATTTCCTTCTAATTGATTGTAATGATCCTAGGACAAATTTCTCCCTAAATTATCCAGAGAGCTTTGTGGCCAAGAAACCCTGGATCAGTGTCCAGGCAGCTTCTTGTATCAGTTTTGAGGAAAAAGCCAAGGCTCGGGACTAAAAGAACATGCTTTGGGTGGCCAAAGTTACAGTATTACTGTTGATGTATTCAACCAGGCTTGAGAAAAATTACTGTCTGGTATTCTGGAAAATAAGCCACCAGTCTAGACCGGTGGTCATCAACTAGTGGGCTGGGGACCACTGGTGGTCCACAAGAAAATTTGGGTGGTCCGCAGAGAAATGTCACCCCCAAAGCATCCCCCAAAGCAATTGATCGAGGCTGCATAGGAACACAAGGCTGCGCTGCCCACATGGCCCACGGGAACACAAGGTTTCTGTTGCTAGCATTGTGAACAACACGAGGTAGTGAGGGGACGGGGGAAAGGGTGGAGGAGGGGAACTTGCTCCACTCGCCCCATATGCCTGCTGGCCACCGGGCTGCTTCTTTCCACTTCTTTCTTCTTCTGCTTTTGGCTGTACACAAGGAAAGCAGCAAAAGTCTTTCTTTCTCTCCCCCAAACTCTGCCAGAAATGTGTCTTTGGGACCCTGCAAAGCATCCTGCTTCCAGAGGCTGTGCCGGTGCAACAAGTCTCACAAAGACTCACTTCTGGCGGAATTTAGAGGAGAGAAAGAAAGATTTCTGCTGCTTTCCTTGCAAGAAGCCAAAAGTCTCTCTCTCCCCCCCTCTCCCCGCCCCCCGGGAACGGAGCTGGTGACAGTATCCTGCAATTCCAAATAAAGAATGATCGATTGGTAGGAAAATGGGGTGGGGGGAATTTTCCTGCAGATTTTTTTTGGGATTCTACCAGGGCCTCTGGTCCACGGGATTTAAAATTATGAGTTTGGTGGTCCCTGGGGTCCCAAAGTTTGGTGACCCTGGTCTAGACAATGTATTGTTACATCCGGAAGAGAGCTTTAGTGTAGAGCAGGGATATCAAACTTGATTTCATTGAGGTCTACATCAAGGTTGTGTTTGACCTCAGCGGTTGGCATGGCCAGAGTGGGCATGGCCAGCTTGGTGTCACACATGTCAGGGGCATCTGTGGTGACTCAAGTGCTCCGACAGCAAAAATGGGCTCCCAAGCTTTGTTTTTGGCTGCAATGGCCTCCTGCCCCCCTCTGCCAGTGAAAGTGGAGCTTCGTTTTTGCTGGCGGAGGCACTGTGGGCCTGTCCTTCACTGTTTCCAGGGCAACCCTGCAGGCTGGATCTGGCTCACAGGCCTTGAGTTTGACACCCCTGGAGTAGATGGTCCTATAAATGGAATTCTGGACTTAGGTTTCCTTGCTGGAAAGCTGGCCTTAATTGAGTAAACTGGGGTAAACTATTCTCTTGCTCTGTAATGTCTCTTATTCTCATTACAGGCATCGTTGCCCTTTGGTCACTTGCTTTGCTTGCGTTTGAGCGCTATGTTGTCATTTGCCGTCCCCTGGGAAACTGGCACTTCAAGGGGAAGCATGCTGCTCTAGGAATAGCCTTTGTGTGGGTTTTCTCCTTGATATGGACAATCCCTCCAACAATGGGGTGGAGCAGCTACACTCCCAGCAAGATTGGGACCACTTGTGAACCCAACTGGTAAGGCAGTTCAGAGAAGCAGCGTTTGCTTGACCACTTTTCATCTAACAGAATCTAACAGGTTTACTTGCACCTCTTTCGTAGGTATTCTGGAAAATATAACGATCATACTTTCATTATTACCTTGTTCACCACTTGTTTCATAATGCCCTTATTGGTTATTTTGGGATCCTATGGAAAACTGATGCGGAAACTTAGAAAGGTAGGTGCAAATGTTTTTTACCGTAGAAATATACGCTGTAATATAATTTATTTTATTTATATTAAATTTACATGCCATCCATCTCACTATTGAATCGACTCTGGGCAGCTCACAAAATAAAGACGAATTTCAAGGCATGGCATTTTGTGTTAAGGGGAAATATTTTAGCAATGGTAAATATGTAATCTTTAATATGCCATCCTTAGAAACCAGGACATCTACGATGCCCTGAATAATATTAACTGGCCCCCAAAGTTAAATATAAAGTTTATTTTATTTTATGAATGAAATCTTAGGCAAGTACCAAATCAGTGGACAATTACAGTGACTTCACTGAAGGATACTGCAAAATTGCCATTTCCACCCTACTCCAGGGGAAGTTTCCTGCAAAATCCCATTCCCTCCCCACCCCACTAACCTGCTTTCCAGCTCCGTTCTCCTGTGCAGGGCAACAAAAGAAGACCCAGCCAATCAGCTGGGACTCGGGGGGCAGAGAATAGATGGGGGTGGGGCCAGTCAGAGGTGGTATTTGCTTGTTCTCCAAACTACTCCAAATTTCCGCTACCGGTTCTCCAGAACCTGTCAGAACTGGCTGAATATCACCTCTGGACAGATAGCCTTCAACTTACGATAACAACTGAGCCCCAAATTTCTGTTGCTAAGCGAGATAGAGAAGTGAATTTTGCTCCATTTTACAACCTTTCTGGCCACAGTTGCTAAGTGAATCACTACAGTTAAGTTCATAACATGGATGTTATGAGAATCTGGCTTCCTCATTCACTGTGCTTGTCAGAGGGTCCCAAAAGGTGATCAGGTGACCTGGGACACTGAAACCATCATAAATATGAGTTGGTTGCCAAGCTTCGAAATTTTGATCATGTGGCCACAGAGATGCTGCAGCAGACATAAATGTTCAAAATGATCATGTCATTTATTTCAGTGGTATTGTAACTTTGAATGGTTGCTAAATGAACTTCATGTGCACCACAGATGGTATTCAACAGGTTCTGCCCAGTTCTGGAGAACCGGTAGCGGAAATTTTGACTAATTCAAAGAACCATCAAATGCCACCTCTGACTGGAGATTTTACAGTATCCTTCCCTTGCCACGCCTACTAAGCCACACCCACAGAACTGGTAGTAAAAAAATGTGAATCCCACCACTGCTGTGCATATATTTTACCTCCATGGATTTAAGTGCCTTTTATTAGCCATATGAATATCCTATTAATATGCTTAACAAATAAGAAATCAGTTACCCTCCAAATCTTGCTGAATTGCAGCCCCTAGCATGCCTTACCATTGGCCAAGCTGCTTAAGGTACCTGGGTGTTGCAGTTCAGCAAAGCTGGGACCAACGGCATCCTTAATTGCTGGTGAAATGGAAGGGCAGAAGATGGATATGGTTTATTTTTGGATGCATTTTGATGCAAACACCAAGGAAAAGGCCTTTCCTTTCCTTTCTCTCTCCCTCCCTCCCCCTCCCTTTTCCTTCCCTCCCTTCCTCCCTCCCTCCTTCCTCCCCTCCCTCCCTCCCTCCTCCCTCCCTTTTTCATTCCCTCCGTTCCTTCCTTTCTCTCTCCGTTCCTTCCTTCCCTCCCTCCCTTTCTCCCCCCTCCCTCTCCCTATCCTCCTGTCTTTTCTCTCCCCTCTCCCTCCTTTCCTTTCCTCCCTCGTTCCTTCCTTCGTTCTCTCCTTCCTTTTCTCCCTCCCTTCCCACCCTTTCTCCCTCCCTCCTTCCTTCCTTCCCTTCCTCCTTTCCTTTCTCTCTCCTCTCTCCTCATCCCTTCCTCCCTCCCTCCATCCTTCCTTCCCTCCATCCCTCACTCCCTTTCTCTCCCCCTCCATCCCCTCCCTTTCTCCCTCTCTCTGTTCCTTCTTTTCTCTCCCCTTCCCTCCCTTCCTATTCCCTCCCTTTTTTCATTTTACAAAAGCCTGACTCTATCTGATGGATCGATGCCTAAAACAAAACAATGGTTTAGTGAGAATTTGAACCTGGGCCTTCATAACTTTTGCTTGATGTTTTAAGCACGAAGTATTACAAACTCTGATGCATTTCTTCAAAGCTCTTGCGAAGTCTAAGATCACACGTTAAGGATTCTTCAGTTTATTATCTTATATTTAAAAAGGACCCTGGAAATCCCTAGTCTTGCTTAAAGAAATCTCAGCCCTACATAAGCTTCTCATAGGCTTATTAAGAACTAGCCCTGATTTGTCTTTATGCATTCTGGCAGTTTTATGAAAAGTAACATGAGGCCTTGCAAATTTCAATCATTTATTATTTTTAATTGCATTAGAATTGAAGCTATATATGCACTGAATTATTCATTGTTTTGCATTTAGTGCGTTGTTGTTTTGCCTGGGTTGATGATAAGCATCTGTAATATCCTTAGCTTGATCTATTCTAAATTTTGACATGTAAGCCACAGACTGATTTAGGTTTTGCACGTAAAGAGGGTCTAATTTTCATTTGTGCTGTTTAATCCACACTTGCATCAGAATGCTGGGCAAAAGCCCTAACTTTGCTGACCCATCAGGGGTGTCAAGCTCAATTTCATTGCAGGCTGCATCAAGGTGGTATTGGACCTCAAGGGGCCGGGGTGGGTGTGGCCAGGGTGGGCATGGTCACCTCGATATCTCTCGTGTCGGGGCTGCCTGTGGGGCCCGAACACTCTGACAGTGAAAATGGGCTCCCAAGCTCCACTTTTGTCTGCGGCGGCCTCCTGCCAGTAAAAATGGAGTTCAGGAGGACTGTGTGCAGCTCTTGTGAGCTCCGTTTTCAGCCGAGATGGCCTCCTGCAGCCCTCTGCCTGCGAAAATGGAGCTTTATTTTCATTGGCAGAGGGCTGGAGGAGGCCGTTGCAGCCGAAAATGGATCCCGGGAGGGCAGCATGCTTTCCTGGGCTCCATTTTCGTTGGCAGAGGCACCGTGGGCCGGTCCTTTGCTGTTTCCAGGGTGGCTCCGTGGGCCAGATCTAAGCATCCCGCAGGATGTTTCTAGATGTTTCTCTTTTCTTTCTAGGTTTCAGACGCTCAGGGCAGATTAGGGTCCGTACAGAAGCCAGAAAGACAAGTTGCCAGAATGGTGGTGATTATGATCCTTGCTTTTTTAATCTGCTGGACTCCATATGCAGCCTTTTCCATCTTGGTCACCAGCCATCCCTCGATTGAGCTGGATCCTCGCCTTGCTGCAATCCCAGCCTTTTTTTCAAAAACAGCCACAGTTTATAATCCAATCATCTATGTCTTTATGAACAACCAGGTACTGGTAGTTAAAAACACAAACTCTTATGAATCCATGAAGAAAGTTCCTACTTGGTTTTACTACGTATTCTTTAAATTGATGAATCTGACTAACAGCATATTAACTCTGGGCTCTAAGGGAAACAACTGTCATTCAAAGGGACCAGGGAATAGTCACCCCAGTATTGGTAAGGTAGATTTCAAACACTGGGCCTCGTTTAGTTTCTCCCATTTATTTTCTGTAGCAGGGGTCACCAACCTTTCGTACCTCAGGGACCCCTAAATTTATAATTTTAAATTCTGCGGATCACTAATATGATTTTTTAAAAAAGATAAATAGTATTTAGTGCAATATAAAAAAATGCAAATAATTTTTCTGTGGATCACCGAAATTTTCTCATGGACCACCAGTGGTCCACAGACCACCGGTTGGTGATTGTTGTTCTTTAGCACATTTAGTTGCATTTAATTTATATTCTGAACATCTTTGAGCCACCCATGGCTGAAACTGTTGCAGTGCTCCCTAATCTGGTGCAATTTTGATACATACATCTATTTTGCTGTTATTGCCTTTTGAAGCAAGCAATGTAATGCAAAGCACAGAAAAGGAGCAAGCAGCAATAAGCCAAAGAGATTAAAGCCATGTGATCTGAAAAGAAAATATAGCTAAATCTATTCTAATTCATCTTAACATCATTTACTACATTATTCATACCTTCCTGTCATTGTAAAATCATCATTAGTTAAATTATATGCATCCTCCAGTTTTATTTTTATGTATTTATTTAATTTGTTTCCCACCTTTATTATTATTATTTTTTTACAAATAACCCAATGCGGCAAACATATCCAACACATCTTCCTCCTCCTATTTTTTCCCACAACACCCATCCTGTCAGATGGATTAGGTTGAGTCACCCAACTGGCTTTCAGGTCTTAAGGAGGGATTGGATTTCACACTCTCCTGCTTTCTAGCCTGGTGCCTTAATCATCAAACCAAGTTGTCTCTCAGTTCATTTATTTCTCATCTTTGCTTACTTCTGCAGGATCCAATCTGGGTCAGCTCCAATACGAGTCCAAAAGCACACAAGACCAAACCTCTGGTCCTGGTGACCAACCCAGATCAGATCCTGCAACTTATCCTGGGACATGTGTATTATTTTATTAATCTTCAAACAACTAATGTACAATTAACTCATGCAAAGTCTTCCATCATCCATCCTCTTTTAATGACCCCATCATCCCTTGAGGTGTAAAGTCTGGGCAACTGAATGGAACTGAGTGTTTACTGGCCAGATGCCCTTCCTGTCACCAATGTGGAGTTTTTTTCCCAAGCAGATATATTTTCAGTGTGCTCAGAGAGAGAAATATCTGCCTCTACCTGGGATCGAACTCACAGCCTCCTGATTGTGAGGCAAGATCTCTACCTCTAGGCCACTCCACCACTCCCATGCAGAGTCTTCCATGATTGAAGCCTATTCAATTCATCATGCAGTTTTGTTAAATCCGTAAGCATATCCTTTTCAATTATACCCTTTTGCCCTTTATACCTCCTGCCCAGCATAAAGTCACACTGAACTTTCCAAATGTTGGTCCCCATTATCTACTGTAGCCTTTCATTGTGCCAAACGCTTTTCTAGTCATACTTCACAAACTAACCCTCCAATAGTTTTGCATTCACTTTTGTATTCACTCTCTCCTTATACACGCTTTCAATAAATTGCACAGCCATTCCATAAGCAAATACATCCAAATTTTAACATAATCCAATTGTTGTTGCTATTTGCAAAGTCATGTCCAACCCATCACAACCCAATGGATAACGTTCCTCCAGGCCTTCCTGTCCTCTCCCGTCCCCCGGAGTCCATTTAAGCCCACACCAACTGCTTCAGTGACTCCATTCAGCCACCTCATTCTCTGCCGTCCCCTTCTTCTGTGGCCCTCAATCGTTCCCAGCATTAGGCTCTTCTCCAGTGAGTCCTTCCTTCTCATTAGGTGGCCAAAGTATTTGAGTTTCATCTTCAGGATCTGCCCTTCTAAAGAGCAGTCAGGGTTGATTTCCTCTAGGACTGACCGGTTTGATCGCCTTGCAGTCCAAGGGATTGCAATCATCCAATTACAATACCAGAATTCGGGAGTTGAAGTCCACAAGTCATAAAGGGGCCATAGTTCCCCTCCCCTGAATTACATGATTTGTGCCTGGAACTTTACCATTCTTTGCCCTCTCATAATTTCCCTCTTGAACATTCTCATAAACGTTGATTTATTGATGAAATATCGATTGTAACCATTTGTTATTTCATTTTAAGTTCCAGAAATGTCTAATCCGGCTGTTCCGGTGCAGTGGACAAGAAACAGAAGACACCAACATGAATCAGATTTCAAAGAGAAGAGTGCTAACACGTACCAAAGCGTTTGGCAAGGTCTCCACAGTTACAGCCGGTGTGACTGTCTTCAACCAGAGAAATGAAGAGGAGAGAAGTAACTGATAATCTTTTACTTGGCTTTCCATTTCGGAAAGCAAGATCTGTCCAATGTGGCTATCTCACTTTCTGAGAGGATGGAGTCAGAACTCTGCCTTCCTTTATCCTTTCCATTCCAAAATGGCAGGCAAGACAAAAACAGATAAGAAATAACTTTCTAACAGGATTTATTACCGCATTTAATTGACATCCATTTGAGCTCTTACCTATTCCCAGCTTGTTACAAACAGACTAACTCCAGCTATTCAGAGCCAGCTTTCTGTGGTGGTTCAGATGCTGATCTGGAAGCTAGGAGAGTATGAGTTCTAGCCTCTTTTAAGGTATGACTTTGTGCTCCTGACAGACAGTCTCTCAGCCCAACTCACCTCAAAGGGTGGTTGTAGTGGGAAAAATAGGAGGGAGGAGTATTATGTATGTCCACTGCCTTGAGTTACTTTTAAGTAACAAAGTTAGGATAAAAATCTAATAAGTAAATAAATACTGAACTTCAGCACCCAGAAGAAAGTCCTCTGTGTCCAAAGTGTAGTGATTGGAAAAGACTGCAAATCCACAGGGTTGGACAATTGCCATTTCTCAAGGTGGCATAATGTGCTTGTTCTTGTAATAGTTTAACCCGTCTTTGGCATTTAGAAAATGTTTCCTGGGTTGGAGGACTTGACAACATTTCTCAGATGCTTCTGTCCTTGTCTGGCTGAAGCTGAATTAGTAGAATGAAATAGTCCGTATGCACTGACCTTGTTAAGCAAAGCTAGTCAGACCGAGTCTAACCAGAGGGTCTTCAGTCATTTCAAAGCAGAAAACTCCAAAAGATTCTACTGGAGAAAAGTTAAAATTTATATATATATGAAAGATATTTCTTAATAATTATTCAAGGAAGATAGATCAGATGTTCTCAAACAACTTTTCCCCCCAGCCATTTGGGTTTCTCTTTTCATCTCCCTCCATTCTCTATTCTTTATTCTAATTCAAAGTAATTATTTCATCAAATCAGGCACTATAGTCTATAGTCACATTATTTTCCAGTTGATTACCCTTATTAATTTTTGAAAGTGTGATATCTACCGGCTATAAATTACTGTGCTTTCAGGAATGTATTTGTGCATCTATCCACGGTACACATTTATGTTTGTGATCAATAGCTTTTGTGGCTTTGACCATATGCACACTCTGTATTTATAAACTTGAAATAATTTCTGGAAAGTTCAGCCATAAAGTTGATTGAAATCCAACATTGCAAATGTAAATTGCAATATAGCCGTTCACTTTTCTTGTTTCTGTTTCTTTTTTCCTATGTGATTGTAGCTTTAATTTAGAAAATGCAAAACAGAATAGGAAGAAAAGTGGAGGAACTGATACCAGTGCTAAGAGTTTCAATCATGTAAGATACCTTTCCTATTAGATGTCCATAAAATTGCTTGTTAACCCTTTAGCTAACATTATGTGCAATTGTCCCCCGAAAAATAAAATAGAGGAGGAAGTTTTAGTTATATTATTATTGTTGTTATTAAATTATTATGTGGCAAATATTTCATAACCATCATTCACATCCTAGTTACCCCAGAAACTCTTTACATGAAGCTGCCTTTAAGGACCACTCAAAAGCTGCAACTAGCCCAGAATCCAGTAGCTTGAGTGTTAATTGGTTCCCGCTGCTGGAGACAACTTATGGCTTTGGACCTGGCATTGACTACCAGTTGACTTTGGAATGTAATTTCAAGTGCTGGATTTGACCTATAAACCCTTGGGCATGGTGACTTAATGATTGGTAATATGAACATAATTCCAAGCTTAACTAAAAGGACTACCTGTATTAGATCCTCTAGAACAGAGGTGTCAAACTCACATCACGGCAGTTTCACATGACTGCTGGGACTTTTCCCCCTTTGCTAAACCGGGCGTGGCCAGCGTGTGACACATCTGGCCTGCAGGCCAGGAGTTTGACAGCCCTGATCTAGAACAGCAATTTTCAATCTTACCAACTTTAAGTTACGTGGACTTCAACTTCCAGAATTTCAAGCTGGCTGAAGCATTCTGGGAGTTGAAGTACACATATTTTAAAGTTGCTGAGGTTGAAAAACACTAATCTAGGGAGAGATTATTCTTAATTCTCCAATTTTGGGAAGTACGAGGAGCTGAGGCCTGAAGGAATTGCTTTTTGGTAGCCTCCTTGTAGCGGATACAACTCTCTGCCCCAGCTCAACTTCAAGAAGATGCTGAAAATTGGCTTTTCCAAAAAGATGTTTAATCAAACATTTTTATTTTCTTGCTTTTTTATTATTTTCATTTAGATTTATGGATGTGTTTGCCTTTTGTTTTTACTTTTCTGCTTAAAGTGAATGTTTTAAAATTATTTTTCATATCATGTAAACCATCAGATCTGGATTGATGATGATGGGACAAATGTAAATAATACATTCGTGAATAAAATGCATCTTGTGTCTTCCAGCTGTATTACTTTCTTTACAAGGCTTGAGAATACAAAAAAGGGGCACAATTATTTGTATGTAATACATGTGTCAGGATTCTGGCAGTTACTCCAATTAAATCATGAGCCTCGAGCCACACTCCCAAAACTAAAGAAGATTTATTTGAAGGTAACATTCTACGTCCGGCATTTACCTGGGCGTAGCCAACTCTGAGATATGTAATTCACTGTCACCCTTGATTCTGCTTCCCCCTCCCACCTATCCACAGCCAAGAGTCATCAATCATGCTCTCCAATTAGATTTTTGCACATCAGAAGCTTCAGTCATCTAATCACTGTTTGAAAAAAATATGAATGTAATGTACTTTCGATTCCACACTGCTGCCTGCTCTTTGAAACTCCCCCCTTCTTTCTGTTGTCAACTATAAAATGATTATACAAAATGTTTTATGAGTTGACAACATGTACATAAGCAAGAGGAGCATATTTGAGCCCCCTAGTTGGATAGAATTTTGAATTTTCTCCTCAGGGCCACAAATTGGTGAATTGTAACCAGTATGACTAAAGGATTTGCAGCTATCTCACCCTTGATCAAGGAGAAGTTACTCACTGTGGTCCTGGATGGTAACAGAAATGCCTTCTGTTACTAGCACTCACTAATACAAACTGGCTTATAAAGCCTGCGGAAATTCTTGGTCATCCAAGTCATAGTTGTCTCAAAGGTGCTTTTTTCAAAAGATAGCTGGACTGTTTTTTCCTCGAGGAAGAAGAACAAAACATTTCCCTTCTCACTCAAGAAATGTCAACAGTTCTGGTGGTGGTGATAGTGGTGGGGAAAGGAAAGATAGGTTCTGATAGGATGGTCATGGAAGAAAATAGAAGGATTATATTTCTTTGCAGTCATTGTTAGCCCTCTCAGAGAGCTTTTGAGGCCACTTGGGGTTTATCTGTGCCTTCAAGGTCACTTGAATCAGGGTTTGTTTGATTGTGGAATCTTCTTGGACTTGTTATAGTTTGGATCAGCTGTCCAATGATATTTGAGTTGAGGAATTTGCAACACCTCCCAAATTTAATTTACGGCTTCTACACAGACTCATTCAACTCCCGTTTACAAAGAACCAAGACGCCACCACAAAGCTTTTCTCACCGTTATACTTTATTGTATTCTTCTTCAAAATCATGCAAAGAATGACGATGAAAAAAATTACTAGAATTAAAACAGAAGTCCTCTTGTGACCACTTTATCATGTATTTGTGTACATAATACATTATGTAATATTTATTATGTGACTCACTGCTTTACCAGCTTAATAAATCAGCCATTATAGGAATCGAGCTACAATGTATGATAACAAAAATCTCTAGTTGCCTTAATTGCTCCCAGGTTGAGGACATGTTTTAGACTATTTGGGAAGCTGGATTTTTAGCATCTTAGGCACAAAGTCAACTGAGTTTTTTGGGGCCAGTTACTTTCTCTTAACCTTAGGAAAGAGGAAATGGTAAATGACTTCTGAAAAATCTTACCAAGAAAATTCAGGAAATTGTACAGGCAAGTCTGGAAATAAATTCCATATATACTTGTGTAAACGCCCAAATTTGTTTTCTTGAAAATATACCCCCCAAATTGTGTTTGGCTTATCCACAAGACCAAAACTCAGCCTTTTAAAGAAAAAGTCTTTAAATGATACTATAAAAGTTTGCATATCTGAAAATTGCTAACAGGTATCAGATGATGCAGCCTTTAAGCTAAAAGTTACTAGCTGAGTGGATGAGATGAACAATTCCATTGCTGCCAGAGAAAGTACATGGGAGAAAAAACCTAATAAACCTTATTTTCTAAAACAGATTCCATTTTTCCTGGTATTTAGGCTGCAATTTTGGAGGTTGGCTTATCCATTTCTATTACATGCAAATAAATTCCAAAAATCATTTTGTATTATGGATATTTTCTTTAAAGCCAGTCGTTAATATCATATCCAAATCAGTTAGTTTACAGTTGTTCCAATTTTTTTTAATGTCTCCATTCTTTTGGTGTATCCTGTATTAACCAGACCCAACCTGATTTAGTTTTCTAATCGAGACAAAGTTGGCCAGGGGCTGCCATCTACAATTTGCTAAATTAAAGCCACAGCCTTTCTTTCAATTTCTCAGTCAGTTATTTAATTTTAATGATGCAGCTTAGGCAAACCGACTGACCTCTTATAAATCTTCCATGACATTGGAAGATAATTACTTGTGTTTGTCTTTAAATAACATACCAGGGGCAATCCATCACGCTGAGGATGGTTTATAAGAAAAAATACAAATCTTATTCCATGCAAACAAGTTGTGAATGTACTTTGCACTAACTCTATCTCAAAACTATGGCAGCCTTTACATTTGATTGTCCTAGTTTTCAGATGCTGGCTAGAGCAGCCTTCAACTTAGGACCACAACTGAGCCCAAATTTATGTTGCTGAGAAATTTGTTAAGTGAGCTTTGTGCCATTGTAAGACTTTTCTCCACACGTTTGTTAAGTGAATCACTGCAGTTCTTCCATTTGTAATATGGTTGTTAAGTAAATCCGGTTTCCCCGTTGACT